TAAGCTTTAATAAAAATACTTAAGATTGCTTAATAATTATTTCATAAAAGGTAATAGTGGAATATAAAAGTAAAAGAATACTAAGTTACTTCTCTATGGCAAGATGAAAAAATTGGCTCAGAAGAAGAAATAAACCACTATTGTGTTTAAGTAAATATAAGATAAAAAGTAATTACCATTAGAAGTCAGAATGGGATTTATATATTTCAATTATATAATGAGAAATTAAAGGTGAAAAATGTGGTCCACATAACATAAATAAAAGAAGTCGCTGAAGGGACCAATTTCCAGATTGTTGGTAGAAATATACACTACGATGTGTTTGTTAACATATATTAGAAAAAAACAACAACACCTTCTTTTGAGATAGAGGGAGGAGTGAGTGGAGAGGGCAGAGAGAGGGAGAGAGAGACTCCCAAGCAGATCCTCACAATCACCACAGAGACCAACTGGAAGCTCAGTCCAACAGCCGTGAGATGATGACCTGAATTGAAACCAAGAGTTCGAGGCCTAACAGACTGAGCCACCCAGGCTCAAATGTTTAAGATGCTTTGTAATTTTCTATTAAAAAAAATTATGGTTTTAGGAATTTATTTTTAAGTAAAGTATCGAAGTATGATTTCTTTTTAAAAAATTTTTAAGTGTCTATTACTTTTGAGAGAGAGAGAGAGAGAGAAGGCTCCAGGTTCTGTGCTGACAGTGCAGAGCTTGATGCGGGGCTCAAACTCACAAACCATGATATCATGACCTGAGTTGAAATCAAGCGCTTAATGGACAGAATCACCCAGGCACCCTTGGAAGCATGATTTCTTAAAGGTACAATTTTTCCACTTTTCTCTGTAATAGTGACCATTTAAAAAACAAAGACCTGGGGCATCTGGGCGGCTCAGTCAGTTTAGCTTCCAGCTTTGGCTCAGGTCATGATCTCTCAGTTCATGAGTTCCAGTCCCGCATTGGGCTGTCTGCTCTTAGCACAGAGCACACTTTAGATGCTCTGTCCCCCTCTCTTTTTGCCCTACCCCACTTGCATTCTCTCTCTCTCTCTCAAAAATAAACATTAAAAAAAGAAATAAAAATAAAAAAGACAATATATCATAAAATATTAATAACTAATACACTTTTACAAATTAAGTAGTAAATAATTCCTCAAATTTCTTATGCAATATATTAAGTAAAAAACCTCCAAATTCTAAAATATCATAGCAGAATTGTCTATTCTTTCACACTAAGGAAAAAATAACTTAAGACTGATCCTTTTTTGATTATAAAATTACTGGGAGGTTAATTTTCTTATTTGTACTTTTTAAATTTCCAGAGAACAAATAATATATTTGTGTTTAAAAAATATTACCATCAAAAAGTAAATTATATAGCCAAATATTTACAATGGTTTCAAATATATAAACTCATGAAATCAAAAGCAAGCTCAGAAAGCCTTTAAGAAAATAGATTTTTCCATGACAAATCAACATTTATAAATCATAAAAAATATATTGCTAAGAAAATTTTAACAGACGCACAGATTAACTGGGAACACTTGTATGTCAACAAGGAAATATCATTTAATATGAGAATTTTTTTTAATTTACCAAAAAATCCACAAACAATATCAACACTCTGTTGGTAGAGATGGGCAAGAACAGGAATACGCAGTTAATATAAATACCAGAGGGGCACCTGGCTGGCTCAGTTGGTAGAGCATCCAACATTGACTCAGGTCATGATCTCACGGCTTGTGAGTTCAAGCCCCATGTAGAGATCTCTGCTATCATCAGAGAGACTGCTTCAGATCCTCTACCCACCCGCCTCCCTCTCTCTCTCTCATTCTCAAAAATAAATAAGCATTTAAAAATTTTAAAAAATAAAAGTACTAAAAACCATAAGGTATTGTATTTATGTAAAACCTATTTTCAATATTAAAAAGAGAATCTGAATTTAAGACCATGCTATATCAATTTTTAATGTCATTTAGTTGATTTTTTCAAAATAACTTTGACATTTTCATATGTATATGAATAAAATATTAAATATAAGTTGAATTTATTAAAATTTATGTGTGTATCAGAGAATGAAAGAAATATAGAATATATAATGATTTATTTTTCTTTTTATATTTGATGTTTTTAAGGTAGCTACAGTAATATGCTTTATAATAAAAGCTATAGTAAGAAAAGAATATATATAATTTTAAAAATAATATTTATTCATTTTGAAAATGAAAGAGTTATTCAAGAATATTTCACATATTCTGGCTAGAATTCCAGCCTAGAAATATCTGATACCTATATTTTCTTTTTGACAAGTTTTCACTTTGTGTCTTGTAAAATTGTGGTGTATCATCCTTTTCCTGTTCTGATTTTTTTGTTGTGGTTGTTGAGACATTAAAACATCACATTTTCATTTATGACATTAATATGTATTAAAGCTGTATTGTATTTAGTTACTATTTGAGTTATTTACTCCCGCTGTATTTATTTGTCAGCTCTGGCTGCTATAATAAAATGCGGTGTAATGGATGGCTTATATGGGAATTTATTTCTCACAGTTCTGCAGACTTCCAGGAAGTCCAAGGTCAAAGTGCTGGCCAGTTTGCCTCCCCTACGTGAGGGACTTCTTCCCGATTTATAGACAGCTGCCTTCTGGTTGCATCTTTACCACGTGGTGGGTAGAGAACATATTCTGTTCCCTCTTTCTCCTCCTATCAGGACACAGGTCCCATCTTGGGGGCCCCTCCCTACTTCAAACACCATCACATTGCAGGTTAGGGCTGTAACATACGAATGTGGGGGAGACACAAACATTCAGAACTTGAGACACACATAATCATTCTTTCGTAAGTCTTTATATAATCCTAGGCTTTTGCATGCTACTAGTTACTCTCCTTGTTTTCAGTGATTACAATTCATTTACACAAATTTATTTCTGAATTTGCTAAATATTTTACCTACAACTACAGGGTATCTTGATCTAGTTGTGCTTTTTGAAATTCCTATCTCAACTGATGAGAAAAATAATATGGGAAACTATTCAAAGACAATAGTTGTCTTTGTAATTTCATTTATTGTCTCATAAGTGAAACAGTAAACTACTCAGTGGGACATTCTATCATCCTGGTGGAAAATCCTATTGTATGAGAAGCCGAGTTTCTATCAGAAATACAGAAAGTAGGAAATGCTGTGCACATCTAGTTACTGAATTTTCTCTTTTGAGGACAAGAATATAACCGGACGGATAAAAACACAGGGGCTATACTTAGATTCATGCCATGTGGCACAGCACGAATCTTCCTAAAATAAGAATTGAATTTAAAATGAATTTAGGGGACCTGGGTGGCTCAGTCGGTTAAATGCCAGACTTTGGCCCAGGTGATGATCTCACAGTTCATGGGTTCGAGCCCCACATCGGGCTCTGTGCTGGCAGCTCGGAACCTGGAGTCTGCTTTGCTTTCTGTGTCTCCCTCTCTCCCTGCTCCTCCTCTGCCTGCTTTCTGTCTCTTCTCTATCTCAAAAATAAATAAAACATTAAAAAATGAAAGAAAATGAGTTAAAAAATGAGTTATAATAATATACTGGATTCCAAGGTATTTAAGAGCAGGGATTTACAAGTGGAATACTATTCTGCTATAAAATGGAAGGAAATCCTGCCATTTGCTAGAACATGGATGGGCCTGGGGGCATTATGCTAAGTGAAACAACTCCGAAAGGTAAATACCGAATGCTCTCACTAAAATGTAGAATTTAAAACCAAGTAAAAAAACCAAAACAAAACAAAACAAAAAACCTGAAAATAAAATTTAAAAAAGAGCAGGCATTCTTAGTCTGGACCCTGATAAGGTCAGTAGATAGCAACTGAATATTTCCTTGTATTATTTTCTAAATACCTCCAAACTGGAGTTCCACCAAAATTATCAAAGCCAATCTTATCATCTAAGAATTAGAGATGGACTTTAATTAAAGGGGGAGAAAAAGGAAGAAGGGTGAGAGTTAACAAGCAATTGATAGTTCTTATAAGATCTACTTCGTTGGTAAGCAATTAAAGAAAAAAACAAATTGAACTGGAATTATTAATCTTCTTTAATCCCCCACCCACTTAAATATATATGTAGCATAGATAAAGAAATACAAGTTCTGAAAACATGCAAGACATGCCACAACTGAAGCCTCACTAAACAATGACTGTAGCAATAGGTGTCGGATGCCTGTCCCCTTACTTTTGCAATAACAGCAATGACAATGTCAGTATTAGGCAACAGTGAATGTTTATTATGGGCCAGGTACTATTCTGTGCCCTTTATATGTATTAATCCATCGATTCATTCTCAAAATAACCCTGAATATCACAAGATTTTTTTTATTGGTTCCATATTTCATTCTGTTCTTGTACAAATATATTTTCCATTGTAATTACTTTTTATTCCGTCCCATCGATGTCAGGGGATAAAATAAGTATACCACAATTCACACAAAGCAAGTGTCTTCAATAACTGAAGAATTAGATAATGCTGAAATTTCTATTTTTTTTCCCAGAAATGTACTTGGAACTTAAAACTTATCCAATCCTTCAAATATCTTGCCTTTTTTTTTTTTAACCGCTTCAAGATACTAGAATATTGGTTAGTCTCTCCTGGCTTTGCAATTATGTGCTTCTCTGGAACACTTCCTAGTTCTTTTACAGAATTGAAATTCTAATAATTACAAATTAAAATGTTATATAACATCTAAACCAGGCCTTTCTCAGTAAGCTAGTTTTTCGAATTAAAAGAAAAAAAATAAGCTAGAGCCCTCAAATATTTTTTAAAAGAAAAATACCATCACATCATGAATTTTTTAGGAAACAAACTTCTCTTCGTTTTTATAACTACTACTATCCTCTCTCCCACACAGTACTTTTTGGTTAATGATTGTGGTTCCATTTGATATCATTAGAAAATACATGGATACATGGATCTTTTTCAATAAATCATGACAGATATAATATAAAAACATTAAAAAGTTACCTACCATGTGTTTTAAGGTGGTCTGCTGCATAACTAAATGTCCATGGAGACCAGCACGTGAGTAATGAATGAGAAGCCTCAGAAGCGCCCATGCACATATCTCACTGAGGGACCGTTGTCCTAGTTTCTGTAGATCCTTGCTCCTTAGAACATTCTGCAGAGGCAGGATGGAACCCACTCAAAATCTGGTTTGTATGTCAAAAAATGATGCTGCAGACACACACAAGAAGGAATCGAAAAGTTTATGATTAGCACAGTAAGAGTTTTGGGAGAGAGCAGAGTAAGCCCTCTGAGTGAGTCTGAAATGGTTTTTGAGAACAAGGAATTGAGACTGCCGTGAGGCTTTTATTGTGGTGAGGGTGTGGGGCTGGACGCAACGTTTCCAGTTGGGTACAGGTGCCCCAGTTGTTTCTGGGATTTGAACCTCACACCAAGTGAGGGGGCACAAACACTTTGTTCTCAGCCTGTGCAAATGTAGGCCAGGGAGAGAACAAAGAGAGAGTGACGCTTGAAAATATACAGCAGCCAAATATTAAAAACTCAAGTCAGACTAGATTACATTTGTTATGTCAGTATTTTCTCTAAGTATTGTCACATTTGTGATTAACTCAGGAAATCTATCAATCTTTATATATTTGCTTTAGTAAAATAGGAAAACTGTATAGATGAATCCAACTCGTCAGCACCCTTATTTCAAACTATTACTTGCCAGTTTGTGATTTGTGTACTAATGGCACATGGAGAGTTCTTTATGTCAGCAGATTTTTTAAAGGAGATACCCTCAAAGAAAGGAATTTATTCTGCAACAGGAAGATTCTGACGATAAAGGAGACGGCTTAAATGATGAAAAATGACAAGTCAAATTAAATCGGTGACAAGAAAGGAAATAAATTTCATCAATAAAGGGAGAAAGTAGAATACTATCATTTAAAATGTCCATGTTAGTAAAAAGCAAAACAGATCAGAAATTTAAATATAAATCATGAAAAAACTTTACAATTAAAACGATCCAGTTTCATGGAGGAGTTGGACATCTTAAAGAGATATGTTTCTCTGACGGGACTCTTGGGAATGTGAAATAGGTAGAACATAAAACAGAAGAAGGGACTTGCCTTCATTATATGCACACATGCATATCTATTCTTTTATGTATGTATATTATTTCTATAGTATCTTTATTGTCTTTGTCTATTTTTAATGCTCATATGGATTCATTTTTATAACTCTCTCATATCCTATATGACATGTATCTTTCTTCTTAATATCAGCAGAATGCCATATATTCCTGAAATTCATTATTATTTTCTGGGTTATTTTTTGCTTAAAATTCTGCTTTAAATTCTTATTATCTACTTGTTTATGATTGATTTTCTGAATTGCCTTTCTTTACAAGTATCAACTACACATAGTTAATTGTCAGTAAAGTACTAACCTATTCCCTCTATTGTTTGTTTTATTAAACTCTCTGTCAGCCACATTATGCAAACATGTTTGAAACAGATTGTGTTGCTGTTCTGTTGTGTTTTCAACAGATGTCTAGTTAATTGGAATTTCTCATAGTTGGACCGACTGTGTTAGCTTCCTAGAAATATAGAAAGACCACAACCACATACCTTTTCCTTAGAAGGAAGCCATATTAGTTCTTTGTGTATTTTATTTTTAAGTTTTACATTGACTTCCCCAAAGGTATGCATTTATTTAATAATTTATACATATGTATCATTTTACTAAAACACTTCATTGGTTGGTGTCTTTAACATCTATGTAGGTGAAAAGTGGTCCCACCCTGGAGAAGAGTCATGGAAATACCAAAAAAGAAAAGAAGGCAATTCCAGTAAACTATATGATGACACAGCAAAAAGGGAACAAAACTAAAATTATTGGTTTCTAATAGCCACTGATATGTGGAAAGGGAAAGCAAATGAGTGGGTGTAGATATAGAAACAGTGTTCATCAAATTTGTAAATGATACAGAAACCAGTATTATTTGATGACCTATTATAATGGTATAAATAAAATTTAAGGAAATTTATTAAATTTATATTTAACATAAATGGAAAAATATAATTTACTATTTTGGCAGATCATGTTATATGTCTATTCCCAGTTCAGACCCCTCATTTGAACTCCAGGTTTGTGTTTTTAATCATCTGTTTATCCCTATGTGGACATCACTCTTTTGTTCAAAGTCTTCCAGTGATTTTCCTTTTTACTCTAATTTAAAGCTTAATGTATTACTGTAGCCCACAAATTCTGTGCCATTAGGCATCTATTACCTTTTGAACTCTTTAGTTACTGCTCTCCATAGCATAAACCATTGCCCTTAATATATATTGAACATACACTTGTGTTTGTGCGTGTTTTGATTGTAGAATGATACCAATTTTCCATTCAACCCTGCATCCATGCTTTTTGCAATGTGACCTTGCAGCTTCTGTCTTTAAAAAGTAAAACCTATTTCTCCATGCCTTGCATCTGGACTGGCCCCGTGGTTTTCTTTAGCTTCATAAAATATGTATGGCATGATGGTGTGCAACTTGTGAGGCTATGCCATTAGTGCCTTGCCCACTTCTATTATCTCCCTTGCATACCTGCCTCCCTTATGAGAAGAAATTAATCTGGGCTGATGGAAAATAAGAGGCCATTTGGAGAAGAACTTATTTGTCCCAGCCAAGGACCTTCTAGACTAGGCTACGGCCAGCCAAACCCCAAATGTGTGGAAAGCAAAAACAAAAACCTCAGAGAAATTTAACCAGAGTTGCTTACTTGATCCACAGCCAAATGCAGATACATGGGTGAGTACAGCCAAAATTGAAAAGCTTTCCAAATGATACATAGACTCATGAGCAATATAAATGCTTATTGTTAAAAGGTTCATGACAAGTTTTTGTTCAGTTTGGTTTGTCTGTTTATTTGTTTTGATTGTTTTTATCACTACTATTTCCCAGCATATAAAATAATGTCTGACTCATTTTAAGTGCTCAATATATTATTATATATGTTTTGGATTCTTTTTGAAGCTAATTAGAATATTTTTTCAACTGAATGTTTGGCTTCTAAATGGTATTTAGTATCCGTACTGAAGCATCTTTTTTATTTCCTGAATATATTTTGAGTTTATAGATTTCATTTACTGTCAGGAAAAATAATGCTTTGTATAAATTATAGAAGCTTTAATATGCATCAGAATGGTCAGAAGTAAAATCTCATAATGTGAATAGAGGATACAGAATCCCCATTGCTTGCTGAATTGAGTATAGACTGATGTAGATATCCTGGAGACAAGAATGGTGGTAATAAATAAAATTAAATATATTTGTTATATATCCCAGCATTACTTTTAGATAAATACCCAAAATAAAGTCTTACACAAGTCTCTAAAGGAAAACTTACTGGAATGTTCACTATTGTTTTATTTGTTGGTTGGGTGGTTGTGAAGGCAATGGAGACACTCATCAGTTCTGGACTAAATAGTAGCCTTTGGTAGATATACACTCTTGAATAATATGGCATTTAGAGGCAACATACAAGATGAACAGTTGTAAGTAAGAGTAGAGCTTAAAATCATGGTTTCTACTGAAAAAAATAGAAAGAGATTACAGTCTGTCACATTATCATTTTATTTTTTAAATTAAAACCTAATACCATAAAACAAAATTGTACCTACTAAACACATACAAGTGAAAGGATTCTCATCAAATATATTAGAAAGTTTTATTATGAAAGTAAGGAATGGAAGGAGAGAATAGAAATAAAATGGAATTAATGAATAGATAAATAAAATAAGTGAGGTTTTATGAAGACCAGTGCTGATATTGGGTGATACATAGACTATGATTAATTCTCTGTATCTGTAGTTTAAAAAGATGAAGAAGAAGAAGAAGAAGAAGAAGAAGAAGAAGAAGAAGAAGAAGAAGAAGAAGAAGAAGAAGGAGGAGGATGAGGAGGAGGAGGAGGAGAAAACTAAATGGGAAAATGAACTCACTCAATTTTACACATTATGGATCTCTTTTTTTGAGAATAAATAACACAAAGAACAACTGATATGTTTCTACAATATTTGTTGAGATCTGAAGGAATCAGAATGGGTGTGGATGCCCCCCCAAACACTCTCATCAGATAGTTACTAACTATCTGAATAATGAAACAGAATTTAGGGCTATGAAACTATTTTGTATGATGCTATAATGATGAGTACATGACAGTATGCATTTGTCAAAATGCATAGAAAAACACAACTAAAAAAGTGAACCTTAGTGTATAGGAATTTTTTAAAACATTAATTATGAAGGCTAGTGACTCCAGAATGGAATATATACTGTGACAAAACAAAACAAACAAAACACAAAGCTGTATTTTAAGTATGAAACAATTTCATGGAAGCAATGGGGGGAAATGTTACTGACCCAAGCGACTTTGGAAATGAGTGGAAATTGTAAGACTAAAGACCAAACCATTTAGACAGGCAGTGCACTCTAGTTGGCCAAGTTGTTTCTCAGTGGGGAAGGTTAACAATTCTGAAGCCACTACACTTGTGTACTAGGATTGAACAAATAAATAAGTGGATGGCTGATGGTGGGAGCTAGTTTTCTCACTGTTGGAGTGGAAAGTCATAGACAAGAAGTACTGGGGAGGATATAATGGACCATGTGATGGTGGATTAGAGTTGGACACAAGAGCATGAACTCACATGTTTAGCTCAATGCAGATACAGATGAATAAATATGAAACTGAGTCACACACACGCACACACTCACACACACACACACTTCCAACAGCTGTTTGCTGAGAGAGCCTAGAAGCAATGATAATCTAAGAACAAGTACACCTAACATTCAGTTACTCAGATCTTGTTTTCAAATGCTAATGTCCAATAAAAGGAAACAGGGATCTTTGGGGAAATTACATATTTTAAGATTGTACCAGGGAATATACAAGCTGATCCTGGAATACCCTGTATACCTGAAAGTAATCATGTGCTGAAAAATTCAAACTGGTATAAATATGTCAAAGGAGCACAGGATCCAATTAAAAGAGCTCCCAATGGCCAAAGCTGAAAATGTTTAAGCGACATAAAAGGTAAAGAAATATTGAATTATAAACTAAAGCCAAAATAAGTACCTACAAGTGCATTCTAATATAAATGATTAATAAGATAATAAATGAAGGATAAATAAAACTCCCACTTAGAATTCTAAATAATTAATAAT